TCCAACATGCTTTCCAGTTGGAGGTAGTTCTGTCTCGGTCTTGCCGACGCTGCACCTGCTGTCGCTGGGTCGGACATAGATCAAAATTAAAATTAGCCTCTGGAAGGGGCAGTGCTTTCCACGATTGCTCCTTCGTTTAGTGAACTAATAAAAGGCCAACGTTTCGTTTGTATTGCTCGATCTCTTATTGAAAATCAACGCCAGAATAAGACTGGTGCGTTCATGTTCGCGCATCCGCAACACCAATTCAGACACATATTCGTCTTAAGTAGACAACTTTGAAACTTTTCCCTATGAAAAAATGTAGTAATAATTATTATAATTTCACAAAAGTTCATCAGGCTGCTCGATCTTACAGTGTCCAATACCTACTTTTAGACCGTTTCCAGACTCCCCTAAACCGTCCAAAGCAACACAGAGCAATCGTTACAGATCAATGTTATTAAGACTAGCTTTCTGTTTCTGTTCGGCTGTTCGTCTAGAATTAAGAAAGCTTAACATTAAGCCACGATGTGGTTGAACCTTTGGCCTGTTTGTTTGCTACTGTGCCTACCGGCCCGTACCCTGCCAAGTACCTGCTAGTGGCGCCTGTATACCCAACTCATTCTACAAAAACAATGATCTCCGAAGCTGGCCAATGGTTAAAATATCGTACACGTATACTGATCTTAACTTTACTCATCTAGCTACTAGTAGACCATAGCTATTTTTAGCTATGCCTTTTACTGCATTTTACTGATTACCAAACACTGAAGAAGATTGGCTATAGGTCCGTCTCTTCTAGAGGAGTGCCGTGATTCGTTAACAAACGATTGACGACACGCGTCGCCGCAAACAGTACCATACCATGTATTATTTTTAGGAAATACTGAATGCAAAAGCCTTCGCACAGTTTCAAGGTAGTATGACCACGTTACCAATCGATGGCAGACACGTAACTGTTTTCGGAGGAGTTTACCTAGCCCGTAGTTGAACGAACGATATTTCTTCGAACATAGTTCAACATGCGATATCAAACACGTTAAACTGTGGCGAGCTGCCGCTTCCAGATTACTCGGAACTGTTTGCAATTAGAAGTTTTTCAATATGTCGCTATACACTGCCGTCATCGTGCTACACGACGAAATCTTTTGTGTTGCATTTCGTAACTCTTTCAACACCTAACTTACACTAACGGTTTCCACTTTGCATACGGATAGCGAACATTTTAACGTTTCCGGAAACGCCGTTCAGTCGCCGCTGATGATCTTCGAATCCAATTTACTTCTGATTTTCTTTTTTTTTTTACGCCTCGATTTACTAAAGGTATACCCTTAGGACAATTAATTGATTTAGAATTTCAGGAAGTGGTGCTAAGGTAATCATCGTAGATTACGTAGTGTAATTGGGGGGGGGGGGCCAGTGTTTCGGCCCAAAGAGGCCGGAGCTTGAAACCCTAAGAAAAGAACATTTCATAAAGCCTAAATGGAACATTTCGAATAGAGTTCAGATGCTCGGAAAGGTGCTTAAGTACTTGCTTCTAGAATAAACAAGCGAAGCTTGTGGTATCTGTCAGTATTGCTCTCGACAAAAATGGTCCCATACATTTTGTTTGATCCTCATAATAGCCGAAAATAGAGTAGGTCGATAATTAAACTGTAGACTTTGTTTAAGTTTTTAACGTTACTGCTTTCGCTGTGACGGCTGGGGGCAAACTTGATTTTTTTTCCTTCGTTTCGGCCAGAAAAATTTAAATGTAATATCTCACAAATTGAACAGCCGTCAAATGCTGGTTTGACGCCCCTTATCGTGCCGAAAAAGAGCAAAACGCTTTTGAAAATAGCTACAAATCCTTCCACACACGAAAAATGTTTAAAATTAATTTACCTTTTTAAAATAGAAAAAAAAAGTTATCTGTGATAATGAATATATATCATGGTGAAATGTACGTAAGATATCGTTCTTCGGAAAGACAAATGTCTAGTATTTCGGGAAGCCGAGTAGCGTCGTAAAGATGGCCTAAAGAAAATACAATTACTGCTAAGTCGTCGTTCCAATACCCAAATAGAAGATATAGTTTGAAACCAGCATTGATCGTTAAACGTTTTTTCCGTGAGAAGTTAAGTTTATCATTTACTTTTAGTTAATTGGGCATGGGAGCTTCCTTCAAATTCTATTTCAAGTTGAGGTGCATAGCTCCTAGTGATGTTAGAGGCTAAGCGAACGCTTACTGGCCCCCTTCAGCTTCACGGCTGGTGAGTCACCCGTTACCCTTTATGGAGATGCTTTAATCTGATTGATATTTGTCAAAAATTGCCAGCGCATTTTTCGAGGGTTCATTTCTCTTAATTCCGAGATATTGAACAAGCTAAATGGGAACCGAATCACAAAAAAATTATTATGACAAATACTTTGGTTGATGAAAAATCGCATAGGTTATAAGTTAATTGATTTTAGAAATTTCTGAAAGTTTGGAAAGATTTTTTTTTCGTACTGGAACCTTATATATGCTAAATCTTCGCTCCTTTCTTAGAAACGTCCAGTGCAAGAGGAAGCAGGCGAAGACAAACGAAATGTTCCGTAAGCGTGGCCATACGTACGCAACGACAGTTACGTGGAACTGAAAACTCAGAAAGTTGTTATTGAAGCTCAACACATTGATTGAACCCTCCACTAATGCCACCACAGGTAACATTTGCGATCAGCTATTCGAGTATGCTCGTATAGCACACAGCGTTCCGCACGGATTCTGTTCATCGTTCTACTTTCTAAAACTTACTTGCTTTCTCTTATTTCTTAATTTCTAAAACAAAGGCCATTTTCTAACACATGAGTAATAAAAAAATGAATGATATTTAGTTTATCTTACACGAAAGACCACAGTGCACTACAACTATAGAACCCTGTGATAACTTTTCATCGCACTTATCACCGACCAGTATAATTTCGTGTTTAAAAAGTGACGTTTTAAACGAAACCAATTCATGTAAATAGGTTCGAATTAATGGCCAGCACCCTCTTATCTCTGGGGGAAGATCTATCCGAACATAGGTACTTATATTACAATCTGTTTTTAAAAAACTGAAATTAATTTTTGGATCGTAAGGTATTTTTGACGGAAAATTTTATGATTAAAGCTAATATGATGAAATTCCGTTACTTGCATAGAAATTAGACATAGAAAAATAGATTCTACGTACCTATGAAGAATGTCTAGGTCTTAGACATCGTGCTTTTATGTCTGGGACAAGAGAACTCAGTACTGCTAAGTTGTCAGTGGTAAAATCGTAAGAGAAGAGATGCCCCTGTAAACCAATACTTAACTATTTTTACGTAATATCTTTCCGAAACTCTTTTAGCTAACTGGAGTGTATTTTTCTGGTCATGAATCGCGCCCGTAAAAATCACCATGGTCCATCTCAGATAGACCAATTGATCCTGCAATTGACCCTGACTACAATAGTTCCTATAGAACACACAATATTACGTCGTAAAAGATCAATACATTTCTCATTAATGAATTTCAGGTTCTATAAAACATCGATTCGATCCTATGCTAGTAAACATATCCGAATCCTTGTTCCAATAGGCCAAAGCACACTGCAGACGTTGTTTGGCAACGATTAGTAATTGAAAAGCGAAAACTATAGCAGGTTTAAATCTTGAAAGGGGCTTACATTTTCAATGATAGTACATTTCGTGTCGTGATGAACTTAATTAAAGGTTTCTTTACACGTTCCATGACTGCCGGCCCCTTAGACATATATCGGCGTCGCATGGAGAACGCATATCCTCTACACAGATCTGTTCAGAAAGATTGCTAGATCCGTCCGTGGTCAGTGAAGTCGATAGCACCGACCGACGCGCGTCGCACTCCGCCAGCTGTGTGGGCACGGCGAACCACAGAGGTGAACTGTCCTGTACTTCAGTAAGGACGAACGGACTCGGCCTTACTATTCGGAGATATATATGCCTACCTGTATATGATAACACAGTTGCGTTTAGCGTTTGCTATGTAATAGATTAAGCCTAGCTACGCTCAATGCCCGTCGCTAATATTAGTTGGGCTAGCTTACTTCCTCAGTCCTCAGTAATAAGCAGGATATTATTCAAGTAAAAGCATGGAAAGCCGTTCTCAAGCACTTTTTTTGGCACAACTCACCCCTAGGTTAGCACCCGTCAGACGGCAAGTGCCACCTAACCCACACGTTATCGGTTACAAACTGCCCAACAGACACGTACGGTACATTTACAGGGTAGGGATGCAACAGCTAAGAATGCCCCGTTACATCAGGTTTACACCTTCGTTAATATGGTTTGGACTATACCATACATTTTTCGATATTTCACACTCGTTCATTTTCGTCTTATTGCCGAACATAAGTTTACTATTGCTCAAATGATACAAAAGCATAAACGTCTTCTTGTAGATAGACAACGAACTTTTCTCAATGGATTTAAGGAATACTTCCAGGTACGATTACTTCTGGGGCAAAAATCATCCTACAGAGCAAACAGGGTGCGAGTTTAGCCCCGACGATTGAACTTAGTACTGCCGAGACCACTATCTACGACTAATTGTTAACTCCGCTTTTATGCGACACTTCAAACCAGTTCGGATATCCGAACGATCAATAAAACGATGGGTTAAGTAATCCCGTTAGGGTTACACTTCGACTGTTCGATATTGGCAAAATCAAAAGTCTCCCTCTTAAAGATGAAATGCTGCGCTATAAGCAGCTTTCTACTTTTGTCAGTTTGACCATACAAAATGCTACATCAAGAATATATATCAAGCCTAATTTTCTGAGATTTTTTTTGGCGATTCTGACAAATTCTCATCCTACAATTGTAATGTCGCCATGTATAAATGTGTATCTATTTATTCTAGGACTTTATTTTGTTTTATGTGTGCAGCGGCTCCCAAAATGGCAGTTTTATCGTGAAAGATGACGATAATTAAAAAGCAAAATACGGTATTTGGTTGATTGTAGCAGTGTAGTAACACTTTCAACACCTACCTGTAAATGTCAGATAGCGGGTTTGAATCCGCCTCCAATTCGGTCCGGGTGTTACTGTTTTTCTATTATTTGGCTTCCAAGTTCAATGAAAAATTACAGTCACTTAAGTGGATGTGCTTTTTCTTTTATTGGATCTGTATGCAGCATAGACACGGATGCACGTACAAGCCACCAAGCTCGTACTAACCAAACAACGGATAAGTTTTTGTTTTAAGGATGCTATAATGATATTCCTGTTTTTACAATTTTAGAAAAATTGACAACGATAGGACCAGGATGATAATGGTTGTCGATCTTTGTCAGTCAAATCTTGAATTGCCACTCTTCAGCGCGACGCACGTAATCCAAAGTGGACGCACAGGTAGATACATAAAGCACGGCAAGATAGACGTCATAGCACATATGAAGCACGTTAATAGCGGTAGTAGCAGCGATCGTAACGAATCAACACGCATCGAAAGGGATGAGCTGCTGCACACTACGCACAAACCTCACAATTATAAATGCGTAAATTCATTTGATTTGGTGGGCGATCCAAGTCGACTCAGTCCAGCTTAACTTAATAACATAACGATTTAATAACACAACTTACTTATAGACAGCTTCATCTAACTTCAATCGCTCAGTGTTTCGAGGATACGGTTTACGTTTCGGAGATAACAGAGATTACAATACACATGAGTTAAAAACAGGTAGACAAATGACAGCCATGATATACACACATCAGCAACAATACGCACGGCAATATGATCATGGCTGACGGCCAGTTTGGTCTCGAGGCCAGCTTCGTTATCGTCTGTAGGATCCCAAATCCAGACATGAGAATAGTATCAATGTGGTTAAAACGGTATCACATGTGGCCACTTGTCGCGATGTTTCCTTTAACATTTGCTAGGGCCGTACTGGGTGCTATTATAGTAGCTACAGAAACAATGGCTGCAAAACTCTACGTCGATTCTACCAAAAGGGGATTCTACCAATTCGCTAAGTCACGAAGGGGGCTACATAAATGACATCCTGTATAAAGACAAACAGCTACAATGGTCACGACGGTAAATAGCGGCTACGGGATGTAACAGGCGGTTCGGTTGCATCCCGAAGCAGAAGCAGTCTCACGGTATCTATGCGAACACAAGGGAGATGATCGCACGCATCTCGGCGTAGACAGCGCGAACCAGTCAACACAAGAAGGCATAGGGTCGGGAACTCGATGATTCTCTGAGGGGCTGATGAACGAACGGGCCAAGATCTGACGGCAGATGTAAGCTGAATAGGGAAGCTCAACCTATTCGCTTTACTAGCAGGCGCCTAGAACGTCAGGTACACAAAGGTCTCTCTGATTGCCGTCCAGGCTGTAGTCTCGGGGCAGAGTCCTGCGGGGGACAACCTTCACGGCGGGCGAGCCGCCTGCTCTTGCTGCAGCGTCGCCGTCACCCGCCAACAACTAACATAGGTCCAGGCCGTGAAAGCCTGGCTTATTGCTGCTACTTCTGGTGCCCGGAAAGCTGTCGGTTAACTAGTCGGTTGAGTTTTACCTGCTGGCGACCGCTAAACCATATGTCGAGGTTTCCACCTTCTTTCCCGCTTCACGCACAGACAGGCATTGCCTGAATAAACGAGCGACTGGCCGACATGATGGCTGAGTCGGCTTGGTCAGACTCGTCGACGTTCGAAGTAGTCACAAGGCAGCAGTGCCACTACTGGTACCGCGTTTGCTCCTGGTATATAAGTGTAGTTGTTGTTGCTACCAATGTCTAGCCACTGCCATTGCACGAGTGGTCACTCACGAGCATTGAAGGCAGTCGCAGATGCAGCGCTTGCAATAGCAGCAGCCGCAGCAGCAGAAACAGGAAAACCTGCCGGTGGAGACGCTGGCCGCGGGCGCGTTAACCCTCATCTTTTTTCTCTCGAAACAAGGCGCGGGCTTGCTATCATCAAACGAACCATGGCCACTATTTAAGCTACCTCTATCGACGACCAGCGGCCGCTGACTATCGAGTGACTCTCGCGAGCTTTCTTCAATCGCGATGATGATGCTGAGTCTGGCGCCATCATTGCCGCCGAAACCGTAGACACTGCTGGTATCGAGCCCTCGAGTCCAGGACTAGACAACACTAGACTAGATTAGGTTAGGTCAGCCACTCTTACAGAAAGTGTGTTCTTGCCCACAAGGGCTTCTAGACAGAGAAGAGCTGACTTCTGGGTGCGGTCCGAGAAGCAATCTGGAAGAGCATGGCCATCCGCTCTTAGCAATACTCGCCCGATATTAACCAACATGTGACGACGATGAGAGGCCCACAACGGTCCGAGCACAATAGAGACGTAGCGTAGTTGCTCATAAAGATGGAGACACGTATACGCTGCACGCTGAAAACAGAGGGTAAAACGGGTGCATAATACAAAATTTCATTACGGAGACACCAAGCAACCGATATTTAATCGTTGTATAACCCCACAGTATTAGTTTTGTTGGCTGGCGTGAAGCTTCATTACGTGCTACATTTTCAACACAACCGTTATTTTGGTGACATTCGTTTTAGGTATATATATACGCAGGGAGCAGCATTTGTATCCGTACCTTTTCCTAAACTCCTTTGAATCATTTCTGACTATATCTACATAAAAACAGATATTACGATGATTTTTTGCGCTGGAAATCAGGTGATTCCTGACAGTGACGTTCCTTTAATGCAACCACGTTCCACCGCAATGGCGTTTTCCATTCGGAGCCTATACTGTCAACCAGTTATTTTCCAAATAGTGTGTCCTTAATTTGCACATAACTTTTTATTGATAACTATGCATCAAGCGATGTTAGCAGGTATGAATGTCTATGTCATATGAATAGTCAGATATGAAAGTGTCGGTCAGATGTGTTGTATACGGAAAGTTCCAGAACGATGCAATTTTGGGTTGATAGTAAGTTGAACGTTCCAAAAATGCAACATCTTGAAATAGCCGAAAAGTTACACAGGCTTGAAAAGGCGCCGAAGATCTCAAAAAGACTAATCGTTGGAGCTTATCTCGACGACCCAGTTAACAATTTATAACAATCTCTTCCTCAAAATGGCCATTGACTTCTATATAAAAAATCAAGGAGTATCAAGAATGGCTTTTTGAGCCATTTCAATGAATTTTTGGGTTCTCTAAGAAAGGTCGTTAGGTTTGCGTATTCTTTTTTTCTTTCTTTGGTTTTTCAGAAGTCGCGTGAAAATCACCCATTTTGAGGGAAAGGAAGCGTGTAATTTTGGAGGGATCTGTCCCACATGAAAAAATTGAATAATCGCTGATTTCTGGTAAAAGTAATGCACTATTTTCCGTCATAGTAATTTTTTTATTTTTTTCTAAAAAAGAAGTGGGTTTTTGTCTAGTGTCAAAGCTGACGAATAACGGAACACCCGGTGTGAAAAGCGGCTCGATAAAATTTGAATAGCCCGCGATGTATACATGCACATATAGCTGCAAGAAAGCGCAAGGGAAACGTAGCTAGGAGACAGGACGAGACGTTTGACTATATCGAAGAATACAAAGTTAGATAGATCCCATTATTCCACCAGATAAGAATTTTGATATGAGATTTCTTTATATGGTAACGCGTACAGCTTAGGGTCTGGCTAAACCAAAATCTAGTCGAACACGGCAGCATATCGATGGTTGTATCCGAATAATAATAATGTACCTATAAAACAAACCATTGTACTGATATTTTAAATTAGGCTAATAACAAATAAAAAAAACTCCGTAAACATTTGCAGACGCCGGTAAGGACAAGTAGTCTTTTCTGTTTTGATTACGCGAAATATTCACACGTAAATAATTCAGACGTTTCCAAAACCGACTCGGGTTATGCAGGCGAGACTCACTGCTGTACATAAGAGAAGTCTTTTTGTTTTATAGAGGTATAAACTAACACGTTTAGTTTCCTTCATAAATCATTTGACGGAACCCGAGGGTGGAACTTGTTTCCCTGTCTGCGGACAGATGCAACTGCTGTCCCCTTCGTTACTCCTTCTGAGGCCTAAAGTCATTTTGAAACCTTACTTCAGGATGCTCAAAGAAGGTAGGCGAATAGTTGACTCTTTCTTTTTACCACTCTCATGCATTTGGTACGCTCAAATGCTCTTCTTCAAGGTTCGTTCTTGTTGCTTCTTTGAGTTCCTCTTCTTCGCTCATGATGATCCTGGAAAAGGCCACTTCTCTACTTTGTACTTCTCTAGATCCAGTCTCATGCACAACAACGTCCTTAATTATGAGTACTTCCTTAGAATTTTCATAGAGGGCCTTAATTCAAGCGCAGTAAGATGCGCTCCGCCTGCTTCGTCTAAAGCGCATAATACGCATATGTCATGCTAGGTTTTTAATATTTTTACTGTGCAGTCCTGGTATTACTCGTATCCAGTCGATGCCTGCGCAATGCAGTAGGTGAGTTTGCCATTGTTATTACCATACCAAAGTTACAGGTCGAAGAGCTCGTCCAGTTATCTGGCCTTTCGTTTCTGTTTACGACCATTTCTTTTATCTTTTGTGCATCGTTATTATTTTCACCGTGCACAAAAAACCCAGCTACATAAAACCAGCGGAGACGTCCTTACCACCAACTATAGATCAAACGGCGTGTCATATTCTGTATGCGTGATGATTAAAAACTAGAGTGGTACTATCAGTGCCAATATTTGCTGCATTGCTCTAGACGGATCCTCCAGGGATTTAACGGATCGCTAAATATATACGAGGATGCTACTAACAAACAAACCGAGGCCTGGTTTTTATTAAATCCATAATTATTATTATTGTAACTAGAAATACCCATTGTAGCAATGAATAGGTTTGGCCAATGTATATGATCTGTTTTTTTTTTTTTGACATATCGCGAAATGCCCAAACATTTCTCATTGCTAGTTGTCTGCTGATGTTTGGTTGAGTTCCATTGACTTTTTTTTTTTTTGTAAAAAACCTAGTTATACTGAGTTATACTGTCACTATCTCGGGCAGTGTTTGCTATAAGCTACCCTTATGCATTAACTGTTGTAGAGTCCTTTCAACGCTACGTATTGTAAGAATTTCAGCGATTCGCCTCTACTTACAGATAACCATAAGCCAGAAGTGAGGTGACAAGAAGTTCCGTCATTGTTTATTAGCCCTATCATAGATCTGCTATAAAGGGCTGAGTGTTACTCGATTCTGCCCGCCGTTCGATGACGGCGCCATCTCTCACCGTACAACGTGCAGAGAATTTACGCTGTCTGTAAGTGCATCGAATGGACGTCCCGAGTTTTGACACGAAGGACATTCTTTCCTCTTCCGGACATCCAGGTACACGTGTTCGTGTCAAACGGCAGAGGAAAACCTGGTCAATAGATGAAAAGGGCAAAAATTTGATCTCGCAAAGACAGCTGTTTTAGAGTTAGCTTTTTCCTTCCTTGGGCGTGATTCGTGAATCAGACGTGACGAGAAGTGAACGGTGAAGCGCCTTGATAGTTAGGTTTTACAGCGGTGCACAGGTCACTCATCAGTTAAGTTAGCTGGCATACCGGGCTCCGACTGGGGCTCCGCGATGAACGTAAAGGTCAGTCACCCTCGTAGAAACAGCTCAGTGATATGGCTCCTTTATCCAACGCCTTCTGTTGAGAGTTTTAACATTGTAGAACGAAGTTTGCCTGTCAATTTTTAAAATGCCATGCAGTTGTATGTAACGACTGCCCGCTATATTTGAAAAAGGTGTATATATATACTTGGCTCTTTTTGCATGTAACGTTCACGATCAGAAACGGTAAAGGTGAATGGAAAATATGGCGACCTGTGCATTTTAGATATTCTCCCAGTTGACCAGCCCCGCAGGGTGTTTGTAATAAACTAGTACAGAATTAGTGTCAATAAAGTTGTTGTTTTAAAAAAAAAAAAAACTGTTCCTCAATGAAAACATATCTTTTGAAGAAGTGTTTCACGCGAGATAGCTCTAGCGGATGTGCCTACCGAATGTAGCCGCCATTGACTTATGGAAATCAGCCTCGTATTCTTTGTAGGCCACATGGAGCTTGGCAACAGCGTCGATAGCCGACTTCGACCAAGTGAGCAGGGTCACGATTTCGGCGGGATCGCAAGAACCGAGGACCTTGTATCGATAATAGCTAGCTTTCGTTCATATTCAGAAAGTGAACGTTCTGTTAGTTTGCATTTTCACCTTAAAAACAAGCACTGACTTTGGACGTGTAACGTATACGTGTCCAAAACTTGTCTAATTTATTTATGACCGGAGCATAGTTATCTCACGCCTTCTACATCATAGATCTTCACACTGCACTAAAATTATTTGTCGTACGACATATACGAGTATTATAGTAGCAGTCAATTATATAATTCTGTTAGTATAAGCTCGGTATGAGTTCGGCGACGGCAGCGAA